AGGTTTATATTAGGTGCCTGCCACAGACTACCTTATTTATAGATTTTGTGAGGCTCTTCCGTATTCCATAGGACCAAAATTTATCTTTGTCTTTAGAAAAATTGGTATTAGTAACCCGGTGTTTAGAGCGATTATTATGAATGTAAGATCGTTTGCCTTTCACATGCCATTGTCCTTATGCATTAGCAGAATAGCACTTTTGTAAGCACTTCTGTTCTGGCACTTGTCACTTTGTATCATGATTATTTGCTTCCTTGATGTTTTCTCACTAGATAGCTTAGTTCCTCAAGGACAGGTGCCGGCCTTGACACATCTTCTAGATCACTGTACAACCACCTCTAGCACATGTCTGGTGCACGGTGGGTCTCCAAAAATATTTTTTGAAAAATGAATGAATTGTTAATATCTTAGGTCCACCTTGAACTACTTCAAGCATGAAGTTTCACATATCTCTGAAGGAGCGCTATTTTTAAATTTAGGAGTTTTCACGGCTATTTAAAATTCATTGGTATTTCTCTGTGGCTTGTCGTTGTTATTTAAATTTAAAAATTTCATTTTAAATATGTAAGAAAGCATATTAACTAGGAGCTGATTCATGTGTCCAGTGGGCAGATCACAGAATTTAATAACCTATAAACTGTTTGTCAGAGGTGTTGTGAATTTTAATGTCTTTAAAAGCTTTTACCATGCTGGGATGAAAGACCATCAATAGTGCAGCCACAATCTATACACACAAATTTAAAAGGACATCTAAACTGCCATTTCAAATTTTGAAAGAGGACATGCAAATATGCCATACCATGCTATAAAGTAGAAATAATGTAATTTTATTAGTGCTTATTTTTAGTCCATTATCTCTAGCTAAAATGTATCATCTTTGTTAATAGAACTTAATCTTCAACTACATTTTAGGAGAATCTTTGTTTTGTTTTATTGTTGTGGTGGATGTTCATATAATTCGCTCTTAATTACTTTATCTCTAAAACATGACTATATTTCATGGTAAAATCACTTAATTCTTTCTTAATTCCCATTAATCTAATTCGTAAAAATCCCTTGTAAAAAATCTCTCAAATCAGTTTAATTTCTCACCGCAATTACTATACACATTCATGGTTTGTTGTTGTTTATTAAGATCTATTCATGCCACTTTCAACTTTAAAACATTTCAATGCCTTCCCGTTGTTCTTAAAGTCCAAACTCCTTGGGGTATCTGGGTGACTCAGTTGGTTAAGCTTCTAACTTCGGCTCAGGTCATGATCTCACAGTTCCTGGGTTAGAGCCCAGCGTTGGGCTCTGTGCTGACAGCCAGCTCAGAGCCTGGAGCCTGTTTCAGATTCTGTATCTCCCTCTCTCTCTGACCCTCCCCTGCTCACGCTGTCTCTCTCTCTCTCAGAAATAAATAAGACATTAAAAATAAATTGTTTTTAAAAAGTCCAAACTCCTTAGCACAGCCTTCGAACCCCTGGACATTCTGATTCCCACCTATTCTTCAGGTTCCTATTACAATATCTTCTGGCATTCTCCACCCACACTGCCCTTCTTTCAATCCCTGGTACTCTTGGGTGTCTCCTGGTGCTGTTTTCTCTGCCAGAAATATTGTTTCCACTGTTTTTGGCTGGTTACTGGTACTCATACTTCAGAGATCCACTGTGTCACCCTCTTGGAAGCCTAATGTTTCCTTGACTAAATTGGATCCCTACTTGCTATAATCTCTCACAGCACTATGTGCATCCCTCTCATAGCCCTTAGCACAAGTACAGCTTTACATTTATTTGTGTAATTATTTGATCAGTTTGTTTCTTCCGTGAGGGCACAGACTAGTTTTGCTCACCGTTAGATCCCTAGCTCCCAGAAAGGTGTCTGGCATATAGATGCTCAATAAATATTTGTTCATTCTGTTTTATTAAGGCTTTGTCTAAAATTACCTTAGACATGAAAATAATAGATTTAAAAGAGAGAATTTAGGGGGTGGCTAAGTCGGTTAAGCATCTGACTTCAGCTTGGGTCATGATTTCACAGGTTGTGAGTTCAAGCCCTGCGTTGGGCTCTGTGCTGACAGCTCAGAGCCTGGAGCTTGTTTCGGATTCTGTGTCTCCCTCTGTCTGCCTCTCCCCCACTCACAGTGTATGTGTGTGTGTGTGTGTGTGTCAAATAAAAAAAATTAAACAATTAAAAAAAGAGAATTTATAAAGTAGGATCATAATTAAATCACTACTCAGAAATTATTTTTATTAGCTGTTAAATCTGATAATGGAGAATTACATGAGATCAGAAGATATATGTGATAAAAATGTTCACCAACAATAATATTTTTACTAGTGTATTTCAATGTCACTCTCTCTTTTGAATTGTCACTATGAAATAATAATAAAAATAATAGATGGCATTCATTGAACAACTTACCATGTGTAGGCACTGTGTTAAGTACTATACATTCATTATTTCATTCAATCCTTACAAACCCTTGAGATGGGTATTGTTAAACCCATTTTACTCATGAGAAAATTAAGGCTTAGAGAAGTTAAGTTGACTTGCTTAAAGTCAGACAGCTACTAAGTGATCGAGAAAATACAGCCAATAGTCAACCCAGATCTGACTCCTGATTCCCCTCCTCATCCTTTTCTTAACCACGAATATCTGTATGCTAAGAGATACTAGCTTTGATGTTAGACCAGCTCTGAGTTTGAGACCCAGCTCTAGCACACACCAGCCATTTGATCTCTGACAAGTTATATAACCACCTCACTTCCACCCTAAACCTCAGCAGAATTCTGTCATATAAAATGGAAATAATAGCACCCATCTTGCATAGTTCCTGTAAAAATTAGGTGTACTATAGATAAAGTGCCTGACATATAGTACATATTCAATAAATCACTTTTCATTGTTGTTTTATTATAGGATGTCTAATTTTTTCAAGTAACTTGTATTTGGCAACATTATGTTTTAGATTGTTCAGGATAGTCCTCTTCTATAATTCAAAAACACTGTTACCAAAGATATATTTGTCAGAGCATGTGTCCTATTTTTTGGGTTTAGAAAATAGGATCATTATGCTCAAATACCATTTAGCTGAGTCCTAAGCCGACTAAAGATACCTAGCATATCAATGTTAAATAACTGAATGATTATTGTATGCCAAATACATGAAGATTTCACAGGTAAACAGAAAAAAATCTGCTTAAAATAGCTCAGAAAGAATAAGCAGCTTTCACAAATGATCTCTGATTGAGTTCTGAAAATAGAGTTCCAATTTAATTTTTACAATTTGATGCAATAATGAAAAAGCAACATCACTGTCTTTACATTTAAGTCTATAGTTACTGATTAGTTAAAAAGTTATGATTTGGCATTCATACAAGCAAAACAAATAAATGAGAAAATATAATGTAAAATGATGCATAATATTTAATCATGCTCGTGTGAAAATAAAAATAACTATTTAATTGAAAGAAATACATATGATTCAAATTGCCCACAAAAGTATTGAACGTTAATGAAGCTATTTGGATAACGATAAACATGCACAAGTGCCTTTCAACTTAATTACTGAAAATAATTCTGCTTTTAAAGCTATGCCAATTCTTTTCCCCAATTCTAAAACCTCAGGGAATCCAAACTAAGTAGTACAGTTTAAAAATAGAATCTGTGAGGTCTGCAACTGAAATTGTACATGGTTTGTACACTGTGTATATATTAAAAATTATAATCTGTTTATATTCAGCAGCAATATTGACTTAGAGCCTATAATTAGCACTAATGTAAAGTGTCAATAGTTTTCTTGTTTTATTCTGATTTGCTCATTAGGGACAAATTTCACACACGAAAATTAAATTTTATAGGAAATCCATTTTGAATGTTTAACACTTCCAAAGGTCTATTCATCTTGATTTAATGTTTATATGAATTAACATTTCACCCACTTTTAAATTTATAATGCTATATTTATACCTGTGTAATTTTATAAGTGATAATACTGTAGAAAACCACAAGATAGTGACTTTAAATATCACAATTATTGTTTACTTTTTCATACTTGTAATGAATAATCATTAATTTATGTGACATTTCTATAAAGTATGAAACTTTATTCCTATTTTATAAATGATTAATATAGGAATGCATGTAGGATATGCAGTAGCAACAAAGCTAGGAAAAAGCTGAGTTTCTGATACATGATTTTTGAATTAGTCTCCTAATTCTTACCTTAACTCTGGATGTTAAAAAAAAAAAAATTCCCACCTGGGAGACACAATCAAGCAATAGCCCCCTAAATAAAGAACTACTTTATATTTAAATGATATATTGTTTCCAAATATACAGTACCTGTGAATTAATTTGTTTAGGAAGAATACCACACTTGTAGATACGCGTAGATACGCTAATTAATCGGCTGCCCAGGTGGGATTTGAAAGCCACAGGGAGAGGCTTTTCCCAAACCTCTTCCCCAAATTCCCAAGACGGCTGTCAGCCATTAATGTGTTACTTTAAATTAGTTTATCAGTTACCAACCTGTGTAAGACTTGTAGGAACTAGGAGCTGGGCGCAGAAAGGAAAAGAAAGGACAACCGCCAGGCTAATAAATCTGCAGTGGAGACGGTAGGCGGTTTGGGGAGCCGCAGCAGGACACGAGTCCCTGGAATAATGGAGACTGCAGAAAGATGCCACAGAAAAGGAGATAAAGGATTCATGGAGGGCAACTTCATGTATTTCACAATTTTTCAAATAATCAAAGGTATTTAATTTATACAGTAGGTCCCAAGCTGTATTCAAATAAAATAGTCAGATCTTAAATACTAAATAAAGAGAACAAACGTTCTAAATCGCTAAGAAATACTTTAAAAATTACCTTTTTTAGTGTTGAAAAGTTACAGGCTGAATTTCATATTGCTGTGAATGTATTATATTTATTCTACTGGTTTTCTCCTCCTAGCAGTTAAAAACCAGTAACCTACAGGAAAACAGTATTATAATTCCAACATTCTATTAAGGTTGGCCATAAACAGTAGCTGAGCTGATACTGAAATGGTAAGGTCATTCATTGTAATCTATAGTGAAGTAAAGATACGTGTGTGTGTGTGTGTGTGTGTGTGTGTGTGTGTGTGAATCTCTTTTACTGGAAATAGGCAATTACAGAATATTTAAATTATTGGAGAAAAACATTAAAAATTTTTTTAATGTTTATTTATTTTTGAGAGACAGAATCAGAGCATGAGCAGGAGAAAGGCAGAGAAAGAGGGAGACACAGGATCCAAAGCAGGCTCCAGTCTCTGAGCTTTCAGCACAGAGCCTGAAGTGGGGCTCGAACTCACAAGCCTTGAGATCATGACTGGAGCTGAAGTCTGACGCTTAAGTGACTGAGCCACCCAGGCGCCTTGGGTAAAACATATTTTTATTCTCCTTTCTCAGTTATTCTCTGTATACAATTCTAATGGACTATGATCGGGTGTTGAGTTCAATATCTGAAAGTGTAATATAAGGTAAAGTATTTGGGGAAGGGTGTATGTCCGTGTCTCTGCCAGTTTAAGATAAGAGCAGAGATGCCAAGGACAGAAAAGAAAGCAAACATTCAAGTGGGCCCTATGGGCACCACTGAGTCCATGGACTTTTCCTCAAAGAGTAGGGCAGAGGAGCTAGAAAAGGACTATTATTCCCATTTTTGTTTTTGTTTAGTTTTGTTTTCATCTTCATATGTCACTGAAGGAAAGCAGAGTGTTTTCTTAAAAAACAAAAGAAAACACGGACTAAAACACAACCCATCACCACAGACACGTAATAGGGATGGAATTAAGAGACGAAATTGCTCAGCCTGTGGCTTCCAAGAGTTGTCTCAAGTCTGCGTCTTCAATATCCCACCGACAACTTGAAGGAAAGCAGGAAGACAAGCTTTGTCCAATAGTGTAGAGAGAACAGCAGCAGAAAAGAGGGCAGTTTGTATGGTGGTTCCTCACTTATGCCTTGATGTCAGGGAGGCTTGTGTTTGAATCCTACCACTGGCACTTAACAGCTGCAACTAAACAAGGTGTGTCTATTTCCTGAACCTGTGCCCATTTCCTGATGTGTAAATGGAGTTAATAATAGTGCCTAACTCAGAGGCTTGTTGTGAAGATCAAATAAAATGGGTGCCTGGTATAAATTGGCTAAACAGTCATCATCATTAATTCTTCTCTACTACTATTCTGAAGTTGGAAAGGACAGATTTTGAGGCAGATCATAACATATGTTATAAGTGACTTGTTGCTAAATATTCGTTGAGCCAAATCTGCCTTAGCACTCTGACTGTGTGCCCAAAATAAAAATACCAAACATTTCACATCTCTTTCTTGGAAAAAAAAATCTCTATCTTGATATAATTTAAAAAATCTTTCGCCCATAGATTTTCTTTAGAAGTCTGTGGGAGGAAATACTTCAAAAAAGAAACAGGCCCACTGCTTGAAAGAAGTAGTATGATTGTAACAGCTGAAAAAGAAGAGAGTTGGGCTACTTAATTTATTGCATAGATCTCATCTTCTAAGCAAAAAGAAATATTTTCGAGCTGGAAAAAAATTAAGATACTACTTGGAAACTTGTCTTCAGTCCCTCTAAGATAAAACTGTTAACCTTATCCATACCCCATGACAAGCTTTAGAACCTGAAAATCTGTAACATCAGTATTCAAAATTCAGAGCTTTTAAGACCAGCTACTTTCACATACAGGATTTCATCTACCCTATCCCATCTACTTCATTCACACAAGGATGTGTACTGGCTAGGGACATACATATTACCATCTCCAGATGGAGAGTAAACCTCTTGATTATTCAACTTTGTCCAAGTTCAGCACATCGTGGTCCTCATTAACGTATGCTAGATGAACAAAACTAACAGGCGGAGGAGAAGCCTACAAGTATGTGAAGAAATAATAAGTACTATTCTTATAGTCTTACTTCTGCAGAGTTCAAGACTCCGGGACTCCTGAGAATTATTCCCTTAGATGCTGAAAGAATTTGCCCATTGATTTCAGAATCAGTGTTAGTAATCTCTGAGAAATAATATAAAAAGGATTGGGTAGTGGGGGAGCAGGTTTCTAGAAACTGTAGACTGAGAACTTTACAAATTTTCAATAGTACATAGTCCAATAATTACACAGTGTAAAGCTCGATTCTGGTATCCTGCAGAATTCTGTAGCAGTTTATTACACACTGGCTTATGAGCATTAATGGAAGTACACAGTGATTGTTATAAACCACTATGTGTTCTCTCAGAATGTCATTCAAAATGAATCCCCATTTCCTCTTTTGCTAAAGTTACTGGGATGGTATATCAGGGGAATTCTACACCTTGTTTTTACTAATCACCACAGCACAGTAATCACCCACAGTAAGATGAGTTGGGCACTGTAATAGCTATTTATGAGTACAGAATTTTAACTGTACAAAAAACCAAAATCTCTTAAGTGAAAGCTGGAACTAGCAGGCAGGGATGAAATTAAATCAGGCTTCTGAACTGAAATATTTAAGATAGGAGAGAAACACAGACTGGGACCAATTTATGGTTTATTAGAGTAAGCAGACAAGGCAGAAAATTTCACTGTTCATCACAACAGAAAGATGAAGAAGAAGTGTAGATGCAAGAGTCATTTATCAAGCAAACCAAAGAAATGGTGGGAAAAAAAGCCCAGCCAGGCCGGTGCAACAGCCAAAAAGTTCTGAGGATGCAAGTTGCATAGATAATGCTTTTGGATCATGGTTGTCTTCTAATGCCGACACCCCATCAGATGATGAAGCCATCCTTCTTGATTTTTGAGTAACCAGGACCCTAACAATATCAAGTGGTAATTCTAGAGCACTGTTTCTTAACCCTGGCTGCAATTAAGGGTTTTTAAAAATACAGTGCTAAGGGTCCCAACCCCAGACCAATTAAATCAATCTCCAGGGGTGCACCCCAGTACTCAGTATTTTTCTAAAAGCTCCCCCAGATGAATTTATTGTGCAGTGAAGTTTGTGGATTACTATCCTAGAGGGAAATCTCTATGGTATACTGCTCTCGAACTTTTAACATGCACACAAATCACTTGGGGAAGGATCTTGTTAAAATGTAGATTTTGAATGAGTAAGTCTGAGTTCAGGCCTCAGATTCAAAATTTATAAGAAGCTCCCAAGTAGTATTGGTGGGGTTAGTTCATAGGCCATACTTAGAGTAATAAGACTCTCGGACAATGCTACAGGTCTCTAGTTCCAGCCCTTTTCTGTTGAAGATTTTGTATTGGATTAAGACCTACAGGCATGGTTATTAAATACGATAATTAAAGAAAGAGAGAGCAAACAGTTTACCTCAGAATTAAGATTTAAAAATATTTTCACAGGCTGGTGGGGCAACTGGGCAGTAAGTTGGCTAAGTGTCCAGCTCTTGGCTTTAGCTCAAGTCATGATCTCATGGTTTGTGAGTTTAAGCCCTGAACGGTGCTCCGTGCTCACAGTGCATAGCCTGCTTGGAATTCTCTCTCTCTCCCTCTCTCTCTCCCTCAGAATAAATAAATAAATAAATAAATAAATAAATAACTTCTTTAAAAAATATTTTCACAAGCTGAAATAAACAAGATGAAATTATTCCTTAATAGGGATCATTTAAAGTTTGTCATCTAAAAAAAAAAAAAAGTCTGCCATCTAAGCTAATTCTGAAAAAAAGGAGGAGATATTAAAATATATTAGAAAGCAATAATAATTTCACAGTGTGGAAATGGCTTATGAACAGACTAATTAATTAAATAGGAAGCAGAGAAGTGCATCTTATTTTTTTTTTAAATGTTTTATTTATTTCTAGGAGAGAGAGAGAGAGACAGCGTGAGCAGGGGAGGGTCAGAGAGAGAGGGAGTCACTAGAAAGCAATAATAATTTCACAGTGTGGAAATGGCTTATGAACAGACTAATTAATTAAATAGGAAGCAGAGAAGTGCATCTTATTTTTTTTTAAATGTTTTATTTATTTCTAGGAGAGAGAGAGAGAGACAGCGTGAGCAGGGGAGGGTCAGAGAGAGAGGGAGTCACAGACCGAAACAGGCTCCAGGCTCTGAGCGGGCAGTCAGCACAGAGCCCGACGCGGGGCTCGAACCCACGAACCGCGAGATCATGACCTAAGCGAAAGTCGGACGCTTAACCGGCTAAGCCACCCGGGCGCCCCAGAGAAGTGCATCTCAAAACAGGAGAATTTGGATCTGACAAAAGTGGCTATTTAAATTAGGAGAGGACAGGGGCGCCCGGGTGGCTTAGTCGGTTAAGCATCCGACTTTCGCTTAGGTCATGATCTCGCGGTTCGTGGGTTCGAGCCCCGCGTCGGGCTCTGTGCTGACTGCCCGCTCAGAGCCTGGAGCCTGTTTCGGTCTGTGACTCCCTCTCTCTCTGACCCTCCCCTGCTCACGCTGTCTCTCTCTCTCTCTCCTAGAAATAAATAAAACATTAAAAAAAAATTAAAAAAATAAATTAGGAGAGGACTACTCAGTTACACGTAATCAAAATGAAACAAACAAACAAACCCCCAGCCATCCAGAAAGAAAAAATTAAGATCCATATTTCACACCTACCCTGATAACAAATTTCACATGGATCAAGGATTTACATGTAAAAAAACAAATGTTTGAAACTATGAGACAAAACCATGGGAGTTTTTTCTTTCCTGCTAATGTCTGGATGGGGAAAGCCTTTCTTAACATGATAGAAAGCCAAAAAGGCATAAAAATCTAATACATAAACTAGAAAAAAAAACTTGCATGGTAAAAACTTTCAGATGGAAAGTCAAAAGACTAAGAATAAGCTGAGGAAAAATATTTGTTACTCATGGCATAGACAATTAACTTTTTTAATATTAAAGAGTTCCTACAAGAGAATAATAATACAAATCCATAACCCCCAAGAAAGATGAACAAAATGTATGACCAAACTGTTCCCAGAAAATGACACAAATATGTCTCATGATTCCTCTAGCAATGTGCTTACTCAACTAAAACATACTGCTACCCAATTACTTATCTTTGGATATGCTTTGTATAATCT